GGGGGAAGATCAAGAGAAAGGAAGAAGAGTGGGAACACAATGGAATTTGTATGAAACGCATGAACAGTGGTGAAATGTCAGACAATGGATTGAAGATTTGCAAATTAACGGTTACGATATGGTTTTCCTCCTATTTTACTGAGTAACTCTGTAATTTTCGTTAAATACAATTCGGTTGCCCTCACCTGTGTTCTCCTTCACTACAATAGTATTACATATATTTAAACATCAACCATCTCGCTGTAGGACTAAGTTGGTAGAAAGCTAGAGGCGCCCAAACCAAAAAGTAACGTGAGTTTGTAAAGTGGAACGCTAGTTGATAAACACCCATTACCTCCTATGTGGTAGTAATTCTCATGTTAATTGTGTAATCAATGGTTATAAACACTAAAAATGACACATGGTTGAGAATTCATTGTAGTGGAGCAGGAGATATATGCACTTGTTGTTTACTCATTAGATCCAGAGTTTTAAACTTATTTTTTTATGCACTTGACTCCATGAACGACGAATTCTTTCTTCATGTTATACACATATACCTAAGCCCTTTTTTAAACTACACTTATTCCCCATTACTTTGACAATTAATTATCTTGATATTTATATTTCATTATACTAATGTTATGTGACAATAAGAACCGATGGACATATGTATCCTAGTGTATGTAAGTGTATACTACTCATGATGATGTGGCTTATAAGTAATATGCACCAGAGTAAGGCTTAATTAGTCTAACTAAAAAAAAAGAGATCTTATAACATGTGTTCTGTCGTAATTTTATCCAACTTCTAGTTGTAAATTAAAGATAAAGTAAAAATTTTAAACTCTTATGATGGATTCAACTGCAAAATCGTACACGGAGGACAGCAAACAGACTCTTTCGAGGTGAAGACCGGTGTCAGGCAAGGTTACTTACTCTCGACCTTCCTCTTTCTCCTGGTGATCGACTGCATTATGAAGACGTCGACATCTAGAGGGAAGCTAGGACGCAGCTGGACGATCTGGAATTTGCAAATGATCTGGCTCTTCTATCTCACACGCAACAACAAATGCAAGAGAAGACAACCAGTGTAGCAGCTGCTTCTGCAGCAGTAGGTCTCAACATACATAAAGGAAAAGGCGAAATTCTTCGATGCGACACAACATGCACCAACCAAATCACACTTGATGAAGATGCTTTGGAGGACGTTAACACCTTTATATATCTGGGTAGCATCATTGAGAATAAAGGTGGATCTGAAGCAGATGTGAGGGCGCGGATCGGCAAAGCAAGGACTGCATTTCTACAGTTGAAAAATATCTGGAACTCTAAACAAATATCAATCAACACCAAAATCACGATTTTCAATACAAATGTCAAGACAGTTCTACTGTATGGAGCGAAAACTTGGAGAACTACCAAAGCCATCATCCACAAGATACAAGTGTTTATGAACAGCTGTCTATGCAAAATACTTCACATTCGTTGGCCAGACACCATCAGCAACAACCTACTATGGGAGAAAACAAACCAGATTCCAGTGGAGGAGGAAATCAGGAAAAAGCAGTGGAAGTGGATAGGACACACATTACTAAAATCACCTAACTGCATCACAAGACAAGCTCTCACATGGAACCCTCAAGTTCAAAAGGAAAAGAGGAAGGCCAAAGAACACACTACTCCGAGAAATAGAGAAAGATATGAGAAGAATGAACAAACATTGGATAGAACTGGAGAGGGAAGCCCAGGACAGAGTTGGTTGGAGAATGCTGCTGGTGGGCGGCCTATGCTCCATTAGGGGTAACAGGCGAAAGTAAGTAAGTAAACTTTTATTGTATAAGTGGACCTTGTGAGTGAATCCAAAGTAGATGCAATAGGGTTCGAATCCGTGATTAGTTAGGTTAATTACAAAATTGAGTGCATTAATTACTAGCTCATTGATTTTTGTCAATAATTCACTATTAGCCTGTTGTAAACAACGATAACACCAATAACAATACCAATAATAATAATAATAATAATAATAATAATAATAATAATAATAATATAGATTTCCTTTAACTAACATACAGTCTCAAATAATTGTTTACATAAATTATGAATAGGCATTGATTAGTTTTCCCTACTTTTCTTCAGAAAAAAAAAACAAACAAACAATACTTAATGGAAAAATGAAATGAATTTTCAAAATGGCAAATCAAACAATCTCAGGTCAAATGAACAGTTTTGGTGTGTGTGTGTAAGTACGAGTGTATAATGAATGATTAGCAAGTAATAATAGATTATAATTTGGCATACAAATAATAGAACCAACCTAATAATAAATAAACAGAATTACAATTCACTTTAACTAACTAACTAATGAGAAAATCAATAGGATAGAAATTCGTTTTATGAGTTTGCTTGTTTTGACTTTAACGATACCAAACATTTCTGTTCTAATTGTCTGGCATGCAATAGTGTAGTAGGCTGTTAGTTAGTGTCAGTTGGAGGCAATTGATAGAAAAAAATACGTTTTGAGCTAGTTGGTACTGGTTAGTAAGGTATATATGTAGTGAAGGAGAACACAAGTGGGGCAACCGAATTGTATTTATCGCAAATTACAGAGTTACTCAGTAAAATAGGAAAACCATATCGTCGTAAGTCGTTAATTTGTAAAATATCAGTTCATCATATCGAACTGGACTGTTCCTGTTGCAAACAACATCAATCCATTGTCACCACTATTCATGCGTTTCATACAAATTCCATTGTTTTCTAACTGTTCCTTTCTTGATCTTCCCCCATCTTCTGCTGCCAGACATTACGTTGACACTCACGTCATATACTACTTATAAGTAGCGCGCAACACATATATACGTACATGGAATTTTCAGGAGACTAAAATTACCTACAAAGTACATACTCGCTCTACAATTTAGGACATTACCTTTGAGCCATTCACTCAATGATTGACCTGTTATAAAACTGGAATATTTACAGTAAGCAATCATTGAGAAACATTGAAACATAATTTACACGATGTAGAATCACGACGAATGGTGACAAAAATGCAATTTGATCGACAAAATTCGATCAGTGCTAGATAAGGTAAAGGGTACTTGATAAGGATAGCAGGTTAATTAATGAAGTGCCGAATCTTCATCATTTGAGGTGATTGAGAGATGTATGTATGCCTAACTACCGACTGCCTCGACGAGGGATGTTGCCTGATGTAAGGCGTTGGCTGGAAGATAGCTAAAGGTGGCCAAACCTAAACATGTCACAAGTTTATGAAGTCACTGACAACTGGACTGTGTCATGTTGGTAAGTGTAGACTACTTGGTTAGGGTCCGTGAGACAATAATAACCAATGGTTAGAGACTTTAAATGACATGGTTCAAAATCGTTTGCAATGGTACAGATGCATCTATTCTTTGTGTTCTCTCGAATCTCAACCTTCCGAATTCCTCATCACCTTTATCTTTTTCTTGGTGAATTTATTTCACTGGACAGTACCTCTTGAATAAAATCTTTGATCCCTAATCTCCATTACTGCTAACACTTCTACTACCTCTACTACTGCAGGATTTGAATTAACAATTCAATCTCTGTGTAATAATGCGGTACGGTAACTTGAACTGATGCACGTGCGTACGTACGTACGTACGAAGTTTTACGTTGTATCCGACTGACTGATGTATATTTATTGATCCCAATAATCGAGGAGAACATTTTAAGATCTTATATTAAGAAATAAACATTGAGTAAAACCATTAATTACGGATTATAATAATCATATATAAACCGGTGTCTATTTCTAGGTTATCATTGAACAAATGACCGTAACTAGCATATTCAGATGATTTACTAACAACTGTGAAGACCTAATCAAATTATGTCAGTTAGAAAAAGGTAAAATTAAATGAGAAAGTCTACGACTGGACGGTGAGATATTACCTTCTATTATGCATTAGTGTGTGGTAGGAGTAAAAAGTTTATTGTGATTGCCAACATCTTCAAAGATGTTACCACCAGCTTACAGATTAGGTCGACTCTGGAAATAACAGATATACACAATCGTCATACAAACACACACTGTTTGTCACTCATGGATTTCTGACGACTATATTTTATTCGAAAAAAACAAATCTACATTAATTACGGAGATTGTCGTTTTTACACACATTGCAATCATCAATAAATTTAAAAGTGTGCTCATAAGTGATTAACTTCGTGACGAAACACCGTTAGACCCCGGCTCAGTAGTATAGAGATTAGCGTTCTCTTACAAGATCAAAGGTCCTGTGTTCGAATCCTGTGAGTAGCAGGAGTCATGAGTCTATACTACTGATGAATCTTACACCAGAATGAAACGACTGTTAAATGCTTCCAGGTTTCAAATGTTAGTTTAACGACAATTTGTCCTTGGCAGAGTTTTGGAGGTTTGTGTTTTTACACATTTGAAATGATCAATCAATCATTGTTAGACCAACATTAGAAACCTGGAAGCACTGAGAGACGACCGTTTCGTCCTGGTATGGGACTCATCAGCAGTGCGCATCCACGCAGGATTCGAACCCGGGACCTTCGGAATCGTGCGCGAACGCCCAACCATCGGACCACTGAGTCGGCATCCAACGGTCTTAATGTCTAACTCTGATTGATCTACGGATTTTGCGCGACCTCACCCATTTGTCTTTGATAATTACTGCCCACACTCGACAGGGTTGAACTCCATTAGTCACGTCTTCTCAACTAGAACTCCGAGGATTTCCTCACGAAGCACTACTACGATATTTCGGGGCAGAGTTTTGGAGGTTTGTGTTTTTACACACTAAGCGTTCGCGCACAATACCGAAGGTCCTGTTGGTTCGAATCCTGTGCGAGGAGCAGGAGTCATCTTTCAGTGCTTCCAAGTTTCTAATGGTGTGGTCTAGTAACAATGATTGATTGATTAATGATTTCAAATGTGAAAAATAAATAAATCTATACACTTAATCGATGAACATAAAAAAAATTTCTTTTTTAAACACAAACCTGTAAAGAGAATTCATTGAATAAACAATCTACCCATACATTAGCAATTAATGGTGGACGAATTTCATTTGATATATCGCATACTTTTAATAAAATCATTAATAAACGTAATAAATATTCCGGTTGTTGATTAATTAATGATATTAATGCTGAATGAATATACGACGGATGAATATGTGCATAATTAGTAGGATCATTACCGTCATCGTCATTGTGATTATTCTGATCACTGTCATTATCCGCATCATGATTCATATGATTATTGTTACATAAACGATGATAGTGTTTATGAGTTTCGGATAAATGTTGTCTTGTTGTTTCTATTTTATGATTATTATTATTATGGTTCCATTGATGGTACTGATGATGATGATGATCAGGGGAAGAAGAAGAGTTTGTTTCTAGTGTAGGCTGTTGTTGCATAGGTGATGATGATGCTGATGCTGATGCTGACGAGGATGATAATAATTGCAGCGAAGGAAATATTGGATCCAAAGTGTTCAACTCTTTTTGATCATTACTATTATTATTATTACTGTTACTATTATCATTACTACAATAAGAATGTTCCATAGTTTGTTGATGATACTGTTGTTGTTGTTGGTGGTGTTGTATAATACTATGATTATTCATATTACTCATCATATATAATGATTGACAATTGGAATAGACTTGTTTACGTACAACTTGAAATTGTGATAGACATTCTGAATGAATAGCCATATCTGTGCTTAGAATACATCTGTGTGTGTGTGTGTACGCAAATTGTTTCAATCAATGTACGGCCATAGATATGTATGAATGAATGAATGAATGAATAAATCATTGATTTTTCCAACGACGACACACAGGTTATGTACGTCATCGGTTTCCAATCGAAGCGAACAATTCACATGGTTGTTGGAGGTAGAGAGACAAACAAACAAAGAGAGAGAGAGAACAGACAGAAAGAAAAGAAGACAAAATCAACGAGCGAAAATAATGAAAATAAATATATATATATATAAAGAAAAAATTACACATCTTTTCATTTTTACAAAATTCGCTGTGTTTTTCAATCTACTCCTCCTCTCTCTATATGTGTGTGTGTATGTGAAATTGTATTTTCTCTTTATTAATTAATAAACTCTACTACGTCATACTATTGATATTTTGAAAAATATATTTGAATAAATAAAAATACATAAAAAATTGAAATCAATAAGCTAGCTCTTGAAGAAAACAAGAAAAAAAGATGTTGCATGTTTCAGGAAATGCTATGAAATTATAATGGGTAGTTAGTTAGTGATTCAACTGAGTAATTGTTGATGTTGGAACAATGAAAATGTCAAAAACCGATTGATCAATGCTAGACATTAACACCATTTGAGGCCGACTTAGTGGTGTAGTGGTGTCTTGGGTTCGATTCCTGTGAGTAACGGGAATCGTGGATGCACAGTACTGACGAGTTCCAGATAAGGACGAAACGGCCGATCAGTACTTTCTGGTTTCTAATGATGGTCTAACAATGATCGATTCATAATGAATAACTATATCTTCTTCATGTAATTTGTTTGATCATGACCTATTGACCAACTACAACAATCACTCAGCTCAATGAATAATACGTTGAATGTTTGTAAAGTGAAATATATTATATTCGAGTTTTGATGTAGTGAACATTGACACCGGGATTTCGGTGTATGCATATTATGTTTATAAACGTTGACTAATTGATCACGCATTCACTTCGCAATTTTATCTTTACTTACACCTGTTACTCCTAATAAAGCATAGGCCAACAACCAGTATTCTCTAAACTACTCTGTCCTGAGCTTCCCTTTCCAATTCTGCCCAACTTTCATGTCTTTGTCTATTTCTCGGAGTAATGTATTCCTTGGCCTTTCTCTTTTCCTTTTACCCTGAGGGTTCCATGTGAAGGCCTGTCTTGTGACGTAATTGGGTGCTTTTCTTAGTGTGTGTCCTATCCTTTTCCGCCGCTTCTTCCTGATTTCCTCATCCACTGGAATCTAGTTTGTTTTCTCCCACATTTGGTTGTTGCTGATGGTGCCTAGCAAACGGATCGGAAGTATTTTGCGTAGAAAACTGTTAATAAATACTTGTATTTTCTGGATGGTGGCTTAGGTAGTTTTCAAAGTTTACACCCCATGCAGTAGAATTGTCTTGACATTTGTATTGAAAATTATGACTTAGGTGTTGCTTGGTAGTTGTTTTGAGTTCCAGATGTTGTTCAGTTTTTAGATCCGTGGCTCCACATCTGCATCAGATCCACCTTGCTTGTCGATGGTGCTGCCCAGATATGTAAAGGTGTCAACGTCCTTCAAGGCATCTCCGTCAAGAGTGATTTTGTTGGCGCATGTTGTGTTGCTTGCCTTTTCCCTTTATTTATGTTGAGACCTACTGCTGCAGAGGTTGCTGCTACACTAGTCGTCTTCTCTTGCATTTGTTTTTGCGTGTACAATAGAAGAGCCAGATCATCTGCGCAAAGTACAGATCGTCCAGATGCATCCTCCTAGCTATCCACTATATCCCGTGCTTTCATTTTAGTAATTAGTAAACAGATATCAATCAGCGAAATATACCTTCGCCAAAATTTTTATCAATTTTATCTGACCTTAGAAAAAAAAAACGAAACTAATCTCTTTTATTCTAAAAAAAAATTGATAAGAAAAGTAGTGACTTACAACTAAATTGAGAGAGCAATTGAGAGAGAGAGAGAGAGAGAGAGCAAGAGAGAGTGAAGGCAAACTACAACATACGAACAAGTTGAACTTAAAAATATAAAATGAAATCAGAGAAGTGAAAATTCAGTTCACAAACAAATCAACTAACCTTATCACAGATCTACGAAAATGACGTGATTCATCTGGTGTTAACCCACTGATAATATTAGTTGTTGGATTATTCGTGATAAGATCAAATGCTGTCATACAATGATGATTTTCCAGTGGTGATATATCATTATAACGTAGAGCAAGCCAAGTACCAGCGTTAATCTAGGTTAGATAATAATAATAATAATAATACTCTTCGATAATTTATCAAATTATTTCACTTAATTCAATATAAAGGCCAACATATGTTGCGTTAAAAGTTGATTACACATTTGAAATCATCAATCAATCATTGTTACTAGACCACTCCATTAGGACCCTGGAAGCACTGAAACACGGCCGTTTCGTCCTGGTATGGGACTACTCATCAGTGGCAGTGCGCATCCACGACTACTGCTGCACCTCGCAGGATTCGAACCCGGGACCATTGGCATCGTAGGCGGACGCCTTACCATCGGACCACTGGGCCGACATCCAACGGTGTTAATGTCTACCAGGACGAAACGGCCGTCTTTCAGTGCTTCCAGGTCGCTAATGGTGGTCTAACATTGATCGATTCATGGTTTCAAAAATGTGTAACTTACCAATCTTCACAACCCCGTAATGCAAATTACCTGTGCTCACTAGTGACTAGCTTCGTGAGGAATCTACTCCGAGTTGTAGTGGGAAGAGGTGACCAGCGAAGTTCAGCCTTTTCGGGTGCAGACAGTAACTACTACCGAAGACTGTGTATGAGGTTACGCAACTCCGTGAATTGATCAAGTTAGACATTAACACCGTCAGATACCGGCTCAGTGGCCCGATGTTTAGGCGTTCGCCTACAATATTGAAGGTTCTGTGTTCTAATCCTGCGGGGTGCAGGAGTCGTGGATGCGCACTTCTGGACGAAACGGCCCTCCAGTGCTTCCAGGTTTCTCATAATGCTGGTCTAACATTAATCGGTTCATGATTTCAAAAAATGTATAGAATAACACTTCATCATTATACCCATTACTACCTATCTATTAGAGATTAAAAACAAAATATATTGAACCATGTTACAAATATATTATTTATGATTATCTACTAATCGACAAAATAGAGAGCGAGAGAGAGAGATAGAAAAAACAAACCAAAAAAGAAATCATAACATAACTGATAACAAATTTGAAATTTTCGCTCATCTGTTTGTTTTACTACTACTACTACTACTACAAGAGAATAAATAAATAGTTTTAAATTATCCGGTATTCAATTTATATTATTAATAATACTTTTATGATTATTATGATAATCATTATTGCATACGTGGTAAATTGAAATGATATATGACGTCAAAGTCAGAAAAAAAAAACAAAAAGAAAGAAGGCTGACTGAAAGAGTGAGAGAGTGAGAGAGAGAGAGAAATATGTTGTAGCCAATCAGAATTCGACCTTGAATTTGAACTGACAGGCTTAAAAGCCATTATTATTAAAACAAGAACAACAATATTAACAAGAAGCATATACAACCATCCACCACCACCACACTCTCTCAATGTATGTATGTATGCGTGTATGTATGTATGTATGTATGTATGTATATTATATAAGCTTTATTTGCTTACGTCAATAAAATATTATTGAACACTGATGGCCGCCGATTGGTGACCGTACAATTATTTAATAGTTAGCCGTGAGACACAAGGGATCAAATCGGACGAATCACCTAACTAACTAACTAACCAACTGACGAACTAGTTTATCCAGAAGTCTATTTATTATTAAAACCAGCTTTTAAAAAATCAATAACTAACTAGTTAAGGCTAGAAATATAAAGGAGAGAGAAAACACTGTTTGCTGCATACAGAATCAAATTCTATCTATTATGATGGGTATTATGATGATCCAGATCAGAGATTTTTCTCTCTCTACCAACTAAGAATATAAAATCAATTGTTTCTTTCTGTTACACCAACACACCAAATAATACATATAAATTAAAAAGTCAGACATATAAATTTTTATCGGTTAATGAGAGAGCAAGCGATCGAGCGAGCAAGTGAGCGAGCGAGCAAGTGAGCGAGCGAGAGAAAATCTTTTATCATAAGCAAGCAAAGGAAGGATGTATAAATAATAAATATATCCGTTGAAAATTGTGTGATGCAGCATGAAGTCTTTAAATGAGGACAAAGTAACGCACAGACACGCACACACACGCACACACACACAAATACACACATCAGATTTTAGTTTTCTATATATCACGTTCTGTTTTGATGTGTTTTTTTTTCAGCAAAAGAAAATAGAAAAAATCATGTTCAAATGTTGAAATATATATCGATGTGACAATAATTATTCTAAGAGAATAGACACAAAGCGATAGATAATATTACGTGAAATAATTGTTGACTAAAAAGAAGAAAATATATATAAGCAAGTTTAGAGAGAAGTTTAACGCTTTGATTCTTAAAATAGCCTAGTGACTGACGAAATCTCAGCACGGATGATACAGAAGGTGCGATTGGCATTTGTCAACTTGCGTCATTTATGGAGTAGGTGAGATATCTGTTTGATGACTAAAGGATGAGTGTACTGTGCAGTAGTTCACTCCGTTCTACTTTATTATGGCTGTGAAACATGGCCAGTGAGAGTAGAAGATATTCGTCGGTTATTGGTTTTCGATCATAGGTGTCTTCGAAGCATTGCTCGAGTATCGCGTGGGACAGCCAAGTAAACAATGCTGTTATTAGGAAACAGGCGCTTGGTAAGGATAACAGGTTAGTGTTGATTTTCTAGGGGAAACATTGAATAATATGACTTTTTCTTTAGACCTTAAGTTTTACTGTTCTCCAGCCTATCTGTATTATATTAGTAGGACCAAAAGGAACTAGTATTCTAGACACCATAAATCGACTGGTTTATTACAATAGACAAGCCCAAACAACATGTCAAGATAACATAGGCCAGTTATATATAAGGTAATAACTAGTTTTTTTTAAAAAGACAGAGAAATATATCATAAAGATTTGTGCCTCATCACTCATAATATTCAGAGAGTTGTTAAACAGAAGTCGTGACCAGTGGAGTTCAACCCCGTCCGGATGTGAAGCAGTGTACATCGAGGACAGTTGATGAGGTTACGCAAAAACATGGATAGACCGAAGCTAAACATTAACACTGTTAGATACCGGCTCAGTGGTTCAGAGGTTAGGCGTTCGCGCGCAAGATCAATGGTCCTTGGTTCGAATACTGCGAGAGTCATGGATGAGCACTGCTGATGAGTCCTACATCAGGACGAAACGCTGATCCAGTGCTTCCAGGTTTCTAATTGTAGTCTAACATTGATCGATCAATGATTTAGAAAAGTAACTCAACAATCTCCACAACACGATCATGTAAACAGTTTTTATCAAACAGATCGAATTGTCAAGCCAGATATCCTATAGTAGTAAAGGTAGTAGAAGTGTTAGCAGTAATGAAGAAGATAATGGATCCAAGATATTATTATAGTCCAGTGAAATAAATTTTAAAAGAAAAATATAAAGGTCATGATGAATTCAGAAGATTAGAATTTGAGAGAAGACAAAGAAGGGATACACCTGAGCCCATGCAAACTATTTTGAGCCATGTCATTCAAGGTCTCTAACCATCGGTTACTATTGTCTCATGGGCCCCAACTAGGTAGTCTACATGTACTAACGTGACTCAGTCCAGTTGTCAGTGACTTCCGCTATCTTTCTTCAAAATAAACAGTAAGATATTGTAGTTAGAAATGGAACAAAATGATGTACGCTTTATTGTATTTCAGAATCATCAGTTGAATAATGCCAACATCCTAGTGTTGATGTATAACACTGAAACTTAAATCTTGTACATTTCACTTTAAATACTCAACATATTATTTATTGAACCAGTGAATCAATGCTGTCGCTGGGAATCGGGTGCTAGGTACGGATGGCAGATCAATAGATGAAGTATTGAAACTTCATCAGTTGAGGTGGTTGGGACATGTGTTACGAATGCCTAACCACCGACTGCCTCGACGAGCTATGTTTTGTGGTGTACGAGTAGGTCGGAAGAAAGTTAAGGCGGCCAGACCAAAACATGGCAGAAATGCATGAAGTCACTGACAAGTGGACTGAGTCATGTTGGTAGATGTAGACTACCTGTTTGGGGTCAGCGAGACGAAAGTCACCTATAGTTAGAGACCTTGAACGACATGGCTCAAAATCGTTTGTAATGGCGCAAGTGCATCCATTCGTTGTGCTCTCTCAAATCCTAATCTTCTAGAATCGTCAACACCTCTACCTTTGTCTTTCTAACCTTATCTCACTGAATTTTACTTCTTGAATAATATCTTCGAACCCTAGTCTTCTTCATTACCAGTAATACCCCTACTATCTTTATCACTATGGGATTTGATTTGACATTTGCGTCTCTGTGCTAATGTGGTATGGAAACATGAACTTATGTACATACGTACGAAGTTCTACGTTGCAACTGAATGACTGAACCATTGAATTCAAATAGCCATTAATTTAACTCAAAAGGTAAGATAATTATATCATTATTTAGTAAGAGTTTAAAATAATCCTATTGTTGATAGATATTTAAGACTAAAGTTCGATTAGTCTTTATTAGTACAAGTATATTTTCATTCTAAGAAAATTGTCCAGATTTATGACATTATCATATGTACTGTTGTATCTTCTTTTTAAATGAGAAGTTAATCATGTGTGCTGTTAGGGGTATTAGGGCAGATGTCATTTCCCGGTTGTTCATACCATTGAAAGGTGCTTCTTGAGCAACCTGAAAAGGAAATTGGATTCGTGGTGGTCTTAGTGACCTGAGACGTGGCCACACAGCCCCAGCAACAACTGCTGGAGGCCGGTCATGCACGGCCTTGTTATGGGACGTTTGTAAAGTGTTAACTCTGTTGTTGAAGTGGCCTTATCGCCGGATATTGAAATCCGTGTGAAATTTCTAGGGTCAACCATTTCCAACCCCTTCCTTCCTTGTAAGAAGGCAGCATCACTGCAAATGCTGGTTGTCCGAGGGAAACACCTTAACGCTGTCATATCCCTCTACAGTCAGCAATAGGAATTCCCCTCCTCAGACCTTGAGTTGCTGCTTTGAGTCTTACCATTTTCCAACGGACCTCCCTGACAGGGTAGGACCTAAAGGATCATATGTTCCAGCCAA